AAGGGGGCCTACAAGGATGCTGGGGAGGACTTCATTAGGACTCTTCATTAGGACTCTAGTGGTAGGGCAAGGGGTTATGGGTTACAAACTATACAGGGGGAGCGTCTATAAGGAAGAAGTTCTTCACAGTGAGGGTGGTGAGGCACTGGACTAGGTTGCCCAAAGAAGATGTGAATGCTCCAACGCTGGTGGTGTTCAAGGCCAGACTGGGCAGAGCCTTGGGCGACACAGTTTAGTGTGAGATGTCCCTGCTCATGGCAGGGGGGTTGGAACTAGATGATCTTAAGGTCCTTTCCCACCCTAACTATTCTATGATTCTATGATTCTAAACAGGAATCTACTTAAACTTGTTTTCAAAGTAAAAATCCCTCAACTTCTGAGCTACCTTTGATAAGAATTCCTCACAGAACTCCTTGTTCACAAAATGAAGGATCTCCTAGAGTCAGCTGCCTGGGACCATCTCCCAGATGCTTTTGAGTATCTCTAACGATGGAGATATTACAACGTCTGAGCAACCTGTTCCACTGCTCAGACACCATCACAGTAAATTAACCAACACGTGAATACGACACAGAATAAAGTTAAAACAGGAACAGACAGAAGGAAAGAGAAGAATGTGTGCTCTATGAAAAAGGAGTTTAGATACAAATATTTTGTAATGGTACAGTTCTATACCTACCATTTGGTCAACCCAAGCTGTATTTCCCAAGGTATGTACTATTTTTGCTTCATGTGGTTTTCCTTTGATTTTGTGATGTATGTAATGAGTTACCTATGAAAAACAAATTTTCATTGCACTTGAGGTACATACCAACATAACTATACAGTTATTTTAATCATAATGAAACAATCTTCTGAGCTTAACAATGAAAAGGATATTCGATAAATAAAAAGAGTTTTGAGTAAACTAGTGAAATACTCCAACTTTACCGTAGGTTAAAACAGTACTAGCCTTTAAGGAAGTATCTTCCTTAATGGAAGAATACTCCAACACAGGTCAATTTATAGAGGCTACTGTTCTGCTGTTACACCCCACAGATTCAAAAGTAGCAATAGCTAGTTCTGGAAAAAGCCCTTTAAATCAGACAAGAAAACCCCATAAACATCACTTTCATATTTTGTAGGAAAAAACCCACAAAAAAATGACTTATTAGAATCTGGCCCAGTAGCAGATATTTACTTGTAATACTAATAAGCAATGAAATTTCATAACTAAGTTTGCAGTTCATTACTGTTTGCTTGTAGAAAATAATGCACAGAAATTAAAGAACAAAGAAAATATATTGCAGAAACATGAACATTACCTCTGGGTTCCATTCAGTTTCTTTATCAATGGGTTTCACTCTACAAACTATGAATTCCACAGCCTGAGGTGGCAGACACTGAAACCTTGCAGGCAAGTGAAGCAGCTGACAGCTCTGAACTTGACTTGTTCTGCCTTCATCTATATATTTAATTTTGACACTAAAGAACAAATTTTCCTCCTCTTTTGGGTAAATCTCTACCACCTGAACCCTTCATACAGTAGGAAAAGGAACACAGAATTACTATTCATCTAAATAGTTGCAAAAAGTTTTTTAATATACTCACTTAGAAAATTACATTTTCATATCAAAACATTTAAATGTGTGTGCCCATGCACGAGTAGTCATTCTGCTTTCCACTTAGTAACTTAAAAATAGGTTTTTAAAGGTCTGAATAGCAGTGATTTTTTTCCCGGTTTTGGAGGTGGGTTGACTTTTTTTAAAACTGGAAACAGTAAGAGTTTTAAATTACTCTGTATAAAAAATTGACATATGTAATTAAAAATATCCCAAAATATTTACCTGTGAAAAAGTCTTTTCTCACATAATCCATAAAATGCTAGTGCCTTCACATTTTTAACAGAAATTTTGTTACTAGGGTTCTTAAAATACTCATTAATTTCTTCAGCAAGAATTGTATATTGGTCCTTTTGTTTATCTACTATTCGACCAAAGTAATTTGTTGCACTTACAATGTGGAGAGGCAATATCTGAAAACAAAAAACACCTGAGAAGAAAGGAGGACTACATGATTTCTTAAATGAATGACATGTTAAATTTTCATATTCAAGATCACTTACCTCTCTCCAGCCTAATGAGGAGACAAAGACGCTGCTGCATACAGACATTTCAGAAGATTATGAGTTGTTAGTGTATTATTCATACTCTTATGAATAATTCCGAATTCAGAATTAAATGAGGAAACAGACTAAGTCACACCTGCTGTCTTGAGTGCACCACATGTAAGTGCATGTTTCTAGCAGTAGTGTCATGAAACCTGTCCTGGTCTCAGGCACTAAAACCAGATACCTGTAGATCGTCAAAGGGTTTGAAAACTCATTCCAACAAAAGCTTATTTGTTAGGCAAAAATGGAGTGACACTGAAGAAACCACCCAGTTCTCCTTACTTTCTATTCTCATAACCTGTGACTTTTGGGAATGGATACTACTTATTAACCGCATGACATTAAGGCACATAAATTACACAAAAGACAGGAAAGGAAGGTGGCAGAAGCAGCTCATCCAAGCAGAAGGAATGCAGCACATCTTAGACCCAAGAGCTAAAATTCTGGAAGGACCAATGTCTACATGCTTTCCCTCAGCAATCATCATCCAACAAGGAGACAAGAGAGAGCTTGTACAATACTGCTGTACAGGGAGACACTCCAGTATAAAAGGGACCGAAAAGCCAGGTGAAGGGAGCTGGAGATACAAACTCTTACTGGCATGTGAAGAACCACCACATCAAAGTCAACCCAGTAACCACAATGGTTTCATGACTGTGAAACTTAATGAAACACCCAACGAGGCACAATTAGAACAACACTTCGTATCAAAATGATTTTCAAAAAGCACTGACATCTTAGTATAAAATCACAGAATCATAGAATAGTTTGGGTTGGAAAGGACCTTAAGACTGTGTAGGTCCAACCCCCCTGCCATGGGCAGGGGTATCTCACACTCGACCATGTCACCCAAGACTCTGTCCAGCCTGGCCTTGAACACTGCCAGGGATGGAGCATTTACCACTTCTTTGGGTAACCTGTTCCAGGGCCTCACCACCCTCAGAGCAGAAAACTTCTTCCTTGTATCGAACCAGAACTTCCCTTGTTTAAACCCATTACCTCTTGTCCTGCCACTACAATCCCTGATGAAGAGTCCCTCTCCGACATCCTTGTAGGTCCCCTTCAGATATTGCTATGAGGACCCCACGCAGTCTTCTCTTCTCCAGGCTGAACAGCCCCAACTTTCTCAGCCTGTCTTCATCCGGGAGGTGCTCCAGCCTCCTGATCGTCCTCATGGCCTCCTCTGTACTTGCTCCAGCAGCTCCATGTCCTTACTTGAGGACACCAGAACAGCACTCAGTATGCAAAGTGGGGTCTCACTAGAGCAGAGGGGCAGGATCACCTCCTTCTACCTGCTGGTCACACTCCTACTGATGCAGCCCAGGATACGGTTGGTTTCTGGGCTGCAAGCACACACTGAAGCTGGCTCATGTTCAGTTTCTCATTGACCACCACCCCCAAGTCCTTCTCCACGGGGCTGCTCTGAATCTCTTCCCCGCCCAGCCTGTGCCTGTGCCTGTGTGTGGGGTTGCCCCAACCCAGGTGTAGGACCTTGCACTTGTCTTGGTTAAACTTCATGAGGTTGGCATTGGCCCACCTCACAAGCATGTCCAGGTCCCTCTGGATGGCATCCCTTCCCTCCAGCGTATCAACCGAGCCACACAGCTTGGTGTCGTCAGCAAACTTGCTGAGGGGACACTCAATCCCACTGTCCATGTCGCTGACAAAGATGTTGTCCTGACACCGACCCCTGAAGGATACCACTTGTTACCCATGTCTATTTGGACACTGAGCTGTTGACCAGAACTACTCTCTGCATGCAGCCATCCAGCCAGTTCTTTATCCACTGAGTGGCCCATCCATCAAATTAATGTCTCTCCAATTTAGAACGAAGGATGTTGTGTGGGACAGTGTCAAAGGCTTTGCAGAAGACCAGACAGACGATGTCAGCTGCTGTGCCCCATCCACCACTTCCGTAGCCCCATCATTGAAGGCCACCAAATTGGTCAGGCAGGATTTCCCCTTAGTGAAGCCATGCTGGCTGACACCAATCACCTCGTTGTTTCTCATGTGCCTCAGCATTCTTTCCAGGAGAATCTGCTCCAAGATCTTGCCAGGCACAGAGGTGAGACTGACTGGTCTGTGTTCCCCAGGTCTTCCACCTTCCCCTTCTTGAAAATGGGGGTTATATTATCCTTTTTCCAGTCATCAGGAACTTCAACTGACTGCCATGATTTTTCAGATACGATGGACAGTGACTCAGCAACTGCATTCGCCAGCTCTTTCAGGACCCGTGGATGGATTTCATAAGGTGCCATGGACTTGTGCACATTCAAGTTCTTAAGATGGTCTTGAACCGGATCCTCCCATGGAGTGGGCCTAACGTCTTCATTCTCACAGTTCCTGCATCTGCTTTCCAAGACTTGAGTGGTGTGGTCAGAGCACGCCGCTTCTCCTGATAGCTTCTGGAGAGAGCCCACACTATCCCTAGTCTGTCTTTTGTTTGCAACATACCTACAGAAGCCCTTCCTGTTATCTTTCACATCCCTGGCCAGACTCAATTCTAACTGGGCCTTATCTTTCCTGACCTGATCCCTGGCTTCCTGGACAATGCCCCATATTCTACCCAGGCCGCCTGTCCTCGCTTCCACCTTTTATAAGCTTCTTTCTTCCTTCTAAATTTTTGCAGCAGTTCCTTATCCATCCATGGAGGTCTCCTGGCCCTCCTGCCGCACTTCCTTCTAGTCGGGACGCAACACTCCTGAGCTTGTAGCAGGTATCCTTGAATATCAACCAGCAGACTTGGGCCTCCCTGCCCTTTACGGCTTTACCCCATGGAACCTTACAGAGCATGTTTCTGAAAAGGCCATAGTCTGCTCTCTTGAAGACCAGGATGGTGAGCTTGCTGTGTGCCCTTCTCACTGTCCTGAGGATCTTGAACTCCACCATCTCATGATCGCTGCAGCCAAGGCTGCCTTGGAGTGTCACATTCCCCCCCAGCCCTTCCCTGCTGGTGAGCATGAGGTCAAGCACGGCACCTCTCCTTGCTGGCTCCTCTATTACTTGCAAAAGTAGGCAATAATGCTCCATCTAGAAGGTAAGGGAAGAGCTTATCCAGTTTGCATCATCCCATTTTCTGTGGATACTGCAAATGAAAACGCTACTTTCAAATGACAAGGCCAGCATGTGCTTGTTTTTCAACAAGTTTGCATGAACACATCAGCCAATAAAAAAATTCCTCGGTTCCAACAAAACACACATCATCTTCCACTTCTTTTTGCTTCAAAAGATAAATTTCTTTTCCTCTACCATAAATATAATAGAAGCTTACAGGAATGTTAATCTTTGCTGACTTTGATATAGGATCTCAATTTGTAGAGGGAAGGAATAAACAGATCATAAGCCCTTTTCCCATAGAACAGGAATCTTAAATGTAGAAGAAAACCTGACGTAAACTCAGAATCACTAGCAGAACATTTTCAATTCAAGCTAACGGTTAAAAGAACATCTGGCATGCTTATTTATGCAAGGAGAGAGGAAAAAAAGCTCAAAAATAACGAATATCCAAAATATATAGTATACATACTACAGTAATATTAATATAATACAAAAAGTCATATGCTAAGTAGCTACTTAAGATCTGTCTTCTTGGTACCAAAACCAAGGAAAATAGTAACTTACTGTCACATATCCAGGTGCTTGTAGAATTTTATCAGGTATATTCTGGGGTATATCCATTTGCATATTAATTTGATGACGATCTGGACAAGCTGCTCTATTCCTATGTATTAAAAGCAGTTGTAAAGTATTTTGATGTGATTTACAATGGCTTAAGACACAAAGTTCATCAGCCCTCAATATTCAATTTCTGCCTCAAATAGCACCCGTAACTCTTAGACAGAAACAGCCAAAAACCTCTTTGTGGCTAAGTCTGCACAACAAAAAACGCCAGAAAACTTGTTTCAGAGCAAAGCAAATACTAACACAGGATTTTTTGTTACTTGCAACAACAGTTATCTATGCTAGAAGTCACATCCGAGAACACACCAGCTTCTTCCTTCAGGCACTACTAACAATGCAGTTACAACTCAAGAGAGTCACCATCTACTCACCCACTCCTGGAGGGCCAGAAGGTAATAGGGGAGAGAGTAAAGCACAAACCTTGTACAATTATTGTTAAAATACTAACCAAAACAATGCTTAAAGTTCCCTGAAGTACATCTAGGCAAGTACCCAAGAAAGTGAAACAGATGCAACAGGCAACAGAAAGAAAATGAGGAAAACCTGGTCTGAATAAAAATATTCAACAGGAAAATTCATCAAGGAAATAGAAGCAGTCATCATCCAGGGCATACAACACCTTTCTGCACTGCTATGGGTTTCAAGAAAACGGGGTATTTCCTTACTTGCAAATCCCAAATGTTTTAAGATAGGCGCACAGTGGCCTTGAAAATTTCTTTTCTTCTTCAGCTTCTAGCATCTTGGCAGTAAAATCATGCAGTTCTGGTGGAATTTCAGCTTCTGCGTGCTGCAAAAAGCGCAGGATCCCAAGTGCATGACAGTCAGTGTTTTCTGTGAGCAAAATGACTGATCTTGTTTTTATACGTTCCTGATCTACAGAATAATCCTAAAAAAAAAACAACCCCAAAACATTTTAAAAAAGATTTTATGTATCCACCACTTAATAATAAAATACATTCTTCACCCATTAAAGATTTACTCACATTACAGAAGTGGTCAGACATGGTGCGTAGACGCTGACCAAAGATTCTTGGAGAAGGAAAACTGAAATGTATCACGCAAGTTGCATCTGTAATTCCCAAAGATTGCATACAGTCATCTGTTGAAACTAAGCAGATATTTTATACACACATGTAAGACAACTGTTACACTTCAAGCACCTGAAGTATTATGTTACATTAACAATCGCTGTTTCCCTTGCCCCATGCATTGACTTAAAAGGTCTTTTCCCAATACATTTACATAAAGCATTGTACTTCCTCAGTCAATATGTTTTGTAAGCGTATGACAGATAAAATTTAGTATCTGCATAATTCTGTATCTTGTATCAGTATCACAGAATAAATAGAATTGCCCACAGCCAAGCACTTCACAAAAGACAGAAA